CAGCCAGTCCGCCGCCGCCGCGCTCTCCGCCACCTACGGCGCCCAGGCGGCCTCCTCGCTGGCCGCCTCCTACGGCAGCCAGGCCGCCGCCGCCTCCTACAAGGCGCAGGCCTCCGCCCCGCTGACGGCCGCCTACCGGGCCCAGGCCTCCGGCTCGATGGCGGCGTCCTACCCGGCGCAGCAGGCCTCCTCCGCGTCGCTGGCGGCTGCCTACCGAGCCCAGCCGGGCAGCGCCTACGACGGGCCAAGCCAGCTGGGGCAGCAGGCGGCTTCCTACCTGGGCCTCTCGCAGGCCGCTGCCGTCGCACCGCCCTACGAGCGCACCCGCCTCTCCCCGCCTCGCAGCGCCGCCTACGACGACCCGTACAAAAAATCATCCGCTCTGGCAAAAAGGTACGGCGCTGGGCCGGGGACGGACGGCCGCGCGACTCGCTCCACGCCGCCCCGGTGGATGCCGGCGCCTGGCTCGGGGCTTACTCTTGGTTCCAGCGCGGCTCGCTAATGCCGGGCGTGCAGAAGGGCAGGCGCCACGTGCCGGCCCGTGGGCGCGGTGGCTCTGCTCTCACGGCGCAGACCCCCGCGTAACTCCCTCCCCCGGCTTCCTGGGGGGGCACGCGCTGCGGGATGGGGATGGGGGCTTCGTCCGGGGTGGGGGGAGCCGGTGACACGCGCTCGCTGGCGGCCGGGCCTCCCTTGGTGCCCAGCGCCTGACCCGCGGGTGTACTGGGCGCCGCTTCTCCGTCCCGAGGTGCCGGCTTTGCCTGCAGCGCTGCCTGCCCAAAGCCCGGCGGTGTTGTGCCGCCGCGGCGCGTCCCCGGGCAGGATGCGGTCGCCGCCAGCGGCGGATTCAGGCAGCCTCCCCCTCATTCACCACCTGTCTCTTCTCTCGACCAGGTACGGTTCCGAGCGCCGTCTGTCTGACCTCTCAGATTACCGCCGCTTAGCAGACTCGCCGCTCGCGTACCGCCGGTCGCCGACAAAGTCCCCGATGGATTACCGCCGCCTTCCAGAAGCGCATGCCGATTACGCCCGTTACTCGGGCGGCTACGGCGATTACCTGCCCGCCACCCGCGTCCACTCGGGCTACCAGCGCCGCCTCTGAGCCGGGCGGCACCGGGACAGGGTGGGGGGTTAAGGCCGCTTGCGTCGCCGTGGGCTCGTACTCGGTGCTCCGCCTCACCGCCCGCCGCCGCACCCGGCGCAGTCTGCCGCCTCCGGCCGTTGTCCCCGGGGCAGGGACGGTTATTTTTTAGCTGCTTTTTCTTTGTTCTTTCTCTTTTTTTGAGTTTTTTAGAAGGATCTGCGGTTACGGTTGGAAAGTGTGCTGCGCTCCCACGGGGGGAGCAGGCAACGAGCGCGCGGGTCACCAAACTCTGCCTCTGGCTCCTGCCGTAGCATCGGAACTGTCTCTCGCTCGCGGCACGCGTGGCCATCAGCACCACTGGTGCTTGGTAGCGGTTTATAACCTGAGCGATTGCTGCCACCGAGCGGAGCCCGCGCTCTTTTATACCACGAGTTCCCCTTTTTGGGTTTATTTCCCCTTTTCCAGCATCAGTCCGCGGCGCAGCGCTGGGCTCAACGCAGCAGCGAGGTTTTGTACGACTAAATAAATGCTGGGCTCTTCACCGTTTCCCAACCGTCTCTCGTCTGGTTCTTTCCCAGCCTGGTGCTTCGGGGAACCAGCCGTGCCATCAGTGCCACCGCCGTTCTGGCGAGGGGCCGATACCGCTGGCACGGTGACATGGCCAGACCCATGGAGATCCCTGCTCCTGCCCTTGGCTATGGCGGCCAATTCACTGACTGCCTCAGAAAACACTATTTTTGTGTGGTTGGGTCACCTGGCGCTGGTCCCAGCTGCAGCCCCAGCACCTGTAAGTGCTGGAGCCACTTTTCCGCTGTAGAGGAGGCAGACTCGGAGCACGAGCAGCATTTCACTGGTAGCAGGAAGCGCCGGAGCATTCCCCATGGCACTGCTGGACTCAGGCAGCAGCAGCCCGACTGTACGCTGTGGTAAACGCACACCATCACTGGTGCCCCAGCCCCTAACCTGTGCTTGGTGCCTTTTTTTGGGTGGGAGTGGCTGATTTTGAGAGGAGAAGCCACATGTGCACAAGAGCGAGGTCGGTGTTTGCTCCCGCCCTGGTTTGGCCGTGGCGGCCAGTCGTGTGTGTATCGCTCAGCGCTGCTGGCACCGTGTGGCAGAGCCAGCTGCCGGCTCGCCCTGGCTGGTCATGCCGCCGCAATGGCCATTAAAGTCTCTGAAAGCGTTTTCTGTCGCATCATCTCTCCCCCGAGCCAGTGATGGGTCACGGTGTACTCCTGGTTGGTTAACACAGGTTGTGCCATGGGGGGAGGACAGCTGCCTGCTGCTGCACCTTATTGCCTGGCTGGGGCTCGTTAACCACTGTGGTAATTAGCTGGGCAGAAGGGTCTAACGCTTCTCCCCCTCGTTTTCCAGGGCAGCCACCGGGGGACACGCACCCTCAGGTCCCCGGACTGTCCCTGAGCCCACCCCGGTGACGGAGGAGCCTGCGGGTGATCACACAGAGGCAATTAGCGGCTGATGAGATGGAGGCAATTAGTGGAGGCAGAATCGCCCTGGAAACGCAGCAGCTGACGGCAGGCAACGAGCTCGGGGCTCCCACTGCAAAACCCCAGGGCCTGGAGAACAGCCAAAGGGCTGGGACGTCGACGAAGGCACGGTCCCGGGCCTAATGTCATTACTTAATGAGCACCGAGAGGCAGGGGGAGCAGCACAGGCTGTTTGGGGACTAACGAGCCAGCCCTGGGCAAGTTAATTAGCAGGTAGTTTCAGAGGTGCTGCCCCTGAGGGAGAGGAGGAAGAGGAAGGACCCCAGTGGGGTGCAGGGAAGGTGGGGGTGCACAGGGGCACCAGGATGAGAGCTGGGGGCGGGGGGGGGGGGGTCATAAAAGCAAGGCCCCGTTTGTTAGCTAGGGCAGCACAGGGCCCTGGGGTCCCCTTTCAGGTGGCTGCCCCCCCCCCCAGCTCATCTGCCCCTTCATTGGCAGCACAGACCCCCGTGGGGAGCCGGTCAGCAGGCAGGGCTGCAGGCAGCACTGGTAAGTCCAGGAGGTTACGAGCTGGGCTGGGTGCGGGGGGGAGTTGAGTCCAGAGAAATAACCGGTGCCGGAGCCAGCGGGGTTTGTTAAAAATTTGAGTTTTATTTTACCGGAGAGTGGGGTTGGGGGACGCTAAACGCCACGGGGGGCGCGGGGTGAGCTCCAAACACAAGGTCGGCCCTCCCACGCCAGCGCGGTGCAGGGGGAGCGCGGCGTGGCGGCCTTGAGTCAGCTACGTCATTTCGTATTAAAAAGCTACGAGTGGATTTATTCATCCTCTTCAAAATAAAGAAAAAAAAAGAAAAGAAATAATAATAAAGGAAGCTCCAGCGAGGGAGCGAGCCGCTCCACGCTGGCCGGGGGCAGGAAAAGCAAAGCAAAGCAAAGCTGGCGCTGCGGCTACAGCTGCAGTTACGGCTACGGCTACTCTCGCTCACGACCTGAGCCTAGACCAGCTAGGGGAGGGGTGGGGGCCCCCAAACTACCTGAAAAGCAAATCCTGGCAACTGAGAATGGAAAGCTGGGGGAGGGGGGGGGGGGTCAAGCTATTCTGACCAAGGCTGGGAAGAAGCTGAGCGTCCGTTAGGAACAGACTCGTTAGCTGAACCCGGCTGCACTTTGAAGCCCGGCGCAGCATGAGACGCGCGGTGCCGATTCGGTGTGCGACGGGAACCCGACGTCCAGCCGCAAATATCTTACCTGAAAGAGAAAAGCAGAGTTGGCGCAAAGCGCCTGGTGCAGGTGCCAGTCCCCGTGCCGGCCGGGACCGTGCCGGGGACCGCACAGAGCCCCGGCTGGCACCCGGAGGAGCTGCCGGCTTCCTGAGAGCAACCAGAATCCTGACGCAGCGGCAGTGGGGGGCTCTGTGGCTGCTCCGGGCTGGAGGGATGCCAGGAGCCCCCACGGCTCCAGCTCACCTGCAGCGGTGTGCCAGGGGAAGCAGCCATCCCACGCCGGGGTGGCAGCCTGGCTGCCGGCGGCTTTTACCAGGCAGAGCCTGGGAGCCATCCCCAGACAGGGGCGACTCCCAGGGGATGCGCGTGGCAGCCATGGCACACGGGGCTGGGGGCTCTGCGGGAACCCCCCCACCCCACAGTGACTGTGCCGGGACGGCACCTGGGCACAAGGGCTCGGCCCCGACTACGGGGGGGGGACATGCTAATTAAAGGCAGCGGGAGCCCCGAGGGCGAGCCACTCGCAGGCAGCAGCACCAATTGCCACAGCAAGTCCTCGCCGTCCACCCTGCGCCGGGCAGAGCTGCCAGAGCCGGCGCCTGGGCTTTAACGCCCGGCAAGACCCTGTCTGTTTCACCGCGACCCTTCATCCCGGCTCGCATCGAGACGCAGACGCTCGACTGGCACAACCAGGGGCTGGGGGATGCACACCCCGTTATCTCCAGCAGCCGGGGAACCCCCCCTGCGGTGCCCAGAGGCACCGCCGGTTGCAAGGCGCCATGCACCAGACCTGCCAACACGCTCACCTCCGGCTCAAAAGGCAGAGTACCGCGCCCGGTCCGCGTACGGGTCCCGCCCGAACCGCTGCATGTCGTAGAGGGAGGCCCGGGCCACCGAGGAGACCGGCGACAGCTGCCCACGCTCGTACGTGTACGCCTCTCCGACGGTGGTGGCCGCGGCGGCCGTGCGGCGCAGGGGGCTTCTATCCCGGGTGTAATAGGTGGAGGAGGCGGCCGCCGCGGCGGCGGTGGCGGCGGC